ATTAAATGTAAACTCATTTAGAGAACAGGGTCAAAATGAAATGCAGAAAAATTAATTTTTATATAAGTATGAAACTTGGAATTTTAACATTTTATACGAGTATCCAGTTGTATTTGACACTTGATATCTATACATAATGCAGTATTGTAAATGCAACACTTCGTTGATTGTTGATTAATTTTTAGGCTATTGCTTTTACTTCTTAGCACAGCGGAGTGATACAATGCAATGTAGTAGGTGGTCGATGGTACATGCCTGATCGCCCTCATACTGACGAAGCATATGTAACACATATGTGATATTCAACCAATAATATCTTACTACGAAACAGGAATATAAATTAAACGACTAACTAACTAACTAACTAACTAACTCCATGGAGCCGAGTTCTTCAGAAGCCTCCAGTGGCTCAGCTGTTCAACAATGTTTCAACATTTTATGTTCACAAGTGTGAACCCGCCACTAGTCCCTGTCCTCAACCAGAGTAATCCACTCTTAAGGATAAAGAAAAAAGATTTGTACAAGGCGTTTATTACTTCATACAAAATTCCTAAATATATTTAAAAAAGAAAAAGAAGTAAATGTACAAAATATTAATAGTATATTCTTAGAGTTAACGGAAGATGTTTAAAAACCGCGGTGTGACCGCTATGATACAACAAGATGTTCATAAGAATGTACTGCAGAGGGCCGGATGGGCATTGCATACGAATTTTTTGTATTTACATGATTTCTTTTAAAAAGAGAAAACAGATTAATCCAGTCCACACCTCACCAATCCATTCCTCAAAGATAGAATATTAACATTCTCCTCGCAACTATGTCTAATTCCTCCAAGCTGTCTCTTTCCTTCTGGCCTCCCCGGTAAAATCCAGTGAAACCAGGAATATATTTGACGTTCTTAAGGTTGTATCTATGAAGATTATTGTCTTTACATATATGACACTATGGATTCCGGTAGATTTGGCGTTTCGGAGTAACCTGCTGCCTGCAACGTTGCCCCTGAAGAAGGAGGCTGAACTTTCGCCCGAAATGTTTGAAACATCTACCAGAATAGATAACATTACATTGCAGAGTAAAGAAACTTTTAAGGAAAATATTTGGACATGCAGAATCTTAACATTACAAACATGCTAAACCAACTTCCTTAAGGTTCGGCCACACAGAGCACTACGTACGCTATGTTCGCTATACGAACAGAAAAATATCTCCCTTTATTGCCAATGTGACTGGCCACACAGACTTCCGTACGCTACGTACGCTATGTTCCCTATGTTAGCTGCGTCGCAGAGAGTACACAGCGTACGTAGCGTACGTAGCGAACATAGCGTAGCGCTCTGTGTGGCCGAACCTTTATTGCGTAACCAACCCATGTTTCGGGCTAGACATGAAGAGCCGAAACTAAAGACCGAGGATGAGGAAGTGTCCAGGAGGTTTGAAGCTATATCGCACCTAAGAATGTGTTGATATGTTAGAATGCACCTAAGAATGTGTTGATATGTTAAATCAGGCTAACTATAGAAAGAGGATTAACAGAGGAAAACCAAAGACCCCCGAGAACACCTGCTCCAAAATCACTTCGTCCACTCGGATTCTCATTAATCGCCTGGGACTGAAACCGAGTTTCTGCAGTAGAAGCTAGATTCTTAGCGTAAAGAACTGAGTTATACATCACAGAAAAAACTTTGTCTAAATTATAATGATCAGCTCGTTAACGCTTTACTGGTGGAAACACTCGATATTCAATCTGAAAGCCACATGTCTGCAGAATCTAATACGAATTCCTCAGTGTTAAAACTGGCCGAAGTCACAAAACCCATTGTGCTGTAAGCAGCGAACGGTTTAGGATATTACACACGTATGAATTTCATCACTTATGCAGGTAAACGTTAAAACTTGGAGCCCATAGGTTTGTGAGACGTCGAGGGTCCCGCATTATCTAGACAATCGGCTCACAGATGGCGGTGAAGTTGTCAGTCTCACGAGTCGGCCGCAATTTACCGCCCAGGACGATTCCTGGTACTCATTTCTGGCCATAGTGCGGATGGAAGGATTAGAGCAAGTGAAAAATACAATGAGTTCATCGCGTATCGAACCCGCGACCTTGCGGCTCAACCAACTAAGGTACCGCCTATCCCATGCCACTTATGCATGCAACATGATGTTAGATTACGGAAGAATAAGAAGTTACGATAAAGTGATAATGTGAATACGAAAGGGTAAAGAAGTAATAAATACAGAATATCCGTGGGTAAATATCTTGAAGGCCGGTCACGGTAGCCAAGCGGTCTAAGACATGCAATGTCTTCACTCGCTTGGAAACCGGGATTGTGGGTTCGAATCCCACTCAGGGCATGGTTGTTTAGTTTGTGCGTGTGCTTTTTTCTTTGTTTGTATACAGGTAGAGGCTTTGCGACGAGCTGATCACCCGCCCAAGGAGACCTACCGAACGTGTAAGATCTAGAAAAACCGAAGTGAACGGAGAAGTTCATGGAGGTAGGCCTAGGCCCACTTGGGCTGAAGTGCCAAGGAAAAAATTCTGAAGAAAAGACACAATTTTCAGATAAAGAATTGAAAGGTGATAATACTATGAACGTCAGGGAGACAGGTTGCCTCTAAATGTCTTAGATCGTGTCAAATGCCGGCTCTCACAATGTTAGTTGAGAGTTAAAGTAAACAGTAATTGTAGTACTATAACCTGTAATGTCTCTTGAAAAGTACCTGTAAATTACAGCAAGAACAGGAGAATGCAAAGCATGCTGCCAAAACCACATGGTTTGGCGAGTTCATTTACATTACACTGTGCCGGCTTTCAAGTTTAATTAACAAACCTGAGCACCCCAGCCGAGCCTCTACACAACTGTGTTAAAAACAATTACGGTCATTCAAAGTGTAAACTGCGAAGCTTCTCTCTGTACTGCTTAATTAAATCCATCATTATATACCGTCTGTGACCGAATTCTGCGGAATGGATAGCACACTTGTTTTGAATCGCCAGGTTTCTGTTTGAAATTTCCTGTCAGATATTGTCTTCCCCTAAGAGATATAATTTTTCATCTAACTACCCACCTACCAATCTATCTGCCTGTCAAAAGCCCTTTATAGCCGACGTTTCCTTATTCAGTCTCTCCTGCCCTTCCTGTACTTTCCTTCGGCTCGCTCAGAGCCATTATATTTCCCGTCTCTTGCCCTTCTAAGGGCCACACATGATTTCAGTGTTCCCAGTGCCCTGATGGTTCGAACGGAACTCATATCTTGGACTTGAGTATTCCTACACCCATATCACGTCTTTTCGTACTTGGCTTACTCTTGCTCTGAATAACAGAGCAAAATGTTCCTCGGAAACTTAGATAAAATTACATCAGACTTTACGGCGTCATATCCAAGAAGAAAGTAACTACTGTACCTCAACTTAGGTCACCATCGCTTCCTACAGCAACCTTTTCAATTTACTGTCATATTTTTTTATTGCTAGTGGGGTGGGACTAAGTCCCTTGTACTGCGGCTACTTCTGGCCTATTGTACCAGCCCCAGATGATAGGTGAGGGTGATTGTGAAGCAATTGGTGGAATGAAGATTGGCAGGGGAAACCGAAGTACTCGGAGAAAACCTGCCCAAGCGCCACTTTGTCCACCACAAATCCCACTTGACCAGACCCGGAATCGAACCCGGGCCTCAGCGGTGGGAAGCCAGAGACTAACCGCTTGAGCTATGGCGCGGCCCGTAATTTACTATCATCCTCAGGTCTGATTCTGTACAGCAGGGGTGGCCAAACTTACTGAATGTCTGAACCGCATACGGCATTTTTCAGTAGTTCGGGAGAAGCAAGCAGGCATGCAGATGGGTGCTTCCAAAGCAGAAAATGTCTCATATTTAATCCAATTGTGAAAAGAATGGGAGTGACATATTTTTCTGTGAGCAACTATTAACGGTTTAAGAGAGCCATATTCGGCACGTGAACCATAGTTTTGTTAGTCATATTTTAGAGTCTCTGTAACTGAAAGCTTAGATAAATAAACCAAGAATAAATGACATTTTCATGGGAATAATAATCCGTTTTTAATACAAAATAGATTTCTGTATTTGAATTGTGATAAAACAGAAACCCGCCTAATAAATATTAATTTTTTATTAAGGATTGAAATTCGTCGAATTTACTCGATACTGTATGCGCATGCGCCATATGCCTTTTCTCTCCGTAATCTTTAAAGCATTTAATATGGGTCTCCAAATTCAAACACGCCACCACATAAGAATTTAATTATATTCTTGCCTGTATTTGTCCTAATATAAAATCTTTCTACAGCCACATTCTTCCTTCAAAACTCTGTGGTTCGCTACAATGCTACCAATACGTAATAATGTACTTTATATTCTATAGTGTACACTGTAGCGTAGTTGATTTGAGGCACTACGCTACAAGCCGGAAAGTCGTGGGTTTGATTCCCTATGAAGTCGTCGGATTTTTCAATTGATCTAATCCTTCCAGCCGCACTATAGCACTGGGGTCGACTCAGTGTCTAACAGAAAACACTACCAGGAATCTTCCTGGGGGTATAAGACTGCCGGAGCGTATGGCTGACAATCTCACCGCTATCTATAAACCGATTGTCTATAAAATGTGGGAGCCTCGACGTCTCACAACCACATGGGTCTCCATAGCTTGTTACATGGGTAGCTTTCTTACATTTTAATTATTTAAGTAAATTTGGATACGGGAATTACACTACATCTGCAGGTCAGATTTCTCAGATCCATCGAATAATATATCACGGTGAAACACACGTAAATACGCCATCGTAATAAAGTGAGTTAATGTTGTTACATAAATTTAAGGCATTGGCTCAAGGAAGAAGGTACAATGTTTTCACTTACAAGCATTATCAACGCCAACTCTGCTTGCTATTCTCTTTGGAGACTTCTGGCAGAAAGAACTCACAGATACAGTGTCTGAGAATTCAGATATTTACTTATAAGTGGGTCTGGAATAGCTAACTCACTTGAATCTGTCTTGCATGTCTGTTATCCTCTCCCGGACTGCCTGAACAAAATCATCGTGCCCCGCGATCTGGCTGGTGACGACGGAGAATTGATGCCACTTGTACCGCTCCAGGATACTCAACATGGCGGCAGTCTGATGCTCCAGAGATGGCGCCAGTTGCAGCTGAAGACTCGACTGGGAAGCCCTCTGCAACAGAAATTTTAATTACAGACATTCGTGAAATTTGTTCTCCATGATAAAAGAATGACGCTCATATGCTGTGCTTCACACTCTGTAACGGCGAAATTTCCCCACCAAAATTATGCATGCATTTCATATGGTTCACAGGCAGGGGATGGAAGGGGTCAAGCATTTCCCTTTCTCCAACCTGAATTTTCGAAAAAAAAAAAAACATCGATAAAATAAGGACAAATATAAAATACCTAAATTAAAAAGCTATCCTTTTAACAGGCCGTGGCGGCCCATAGGGGTGTGAGAGGTCGAGGATCCCACATCTTCTAGACAGTCGGCTCACAGATGACGGTGAGATCGTCAGCCTTAGACGCCGGCCACCCTTTACCCCCAGGAACAGTCATATATGTATGTATCCACATGCAGTGACATCAGTGAGTGAAGAAGAAAAGGGAAATTGTATTTAAGCTCTTGTGTATTCGAAAAATCATTGTGTGTGTTTAAATAAATGTAAATCTGTATAAAGCGTACAGTCATCTGTGATATGACGCTATGTATTCCGGAAGAAGTTCATAGACGTTTCGGAAGAACGTACTGCATCTACATAAAGTGTAAAATGTATGATAAGCAAGGAGCGTGAAACAAGCCGAGACCTCAGTCAGTTTTCCTTTTGCTTGCTTAGCATACCTTACGCTTTGAAGAGAGAGGCAACACACCCCTTAGAAACGTCGGTGAACTATCCAAAAACGTTGAGCCACATCCGAGATGATAGTACGCTTCATACTCATTGCTGAATCACAATACAGAGAACAGTACCCTTCATAGTCACAACCGTGTCATTTTTCGGATGGCAGTACGCTTCCTAGTCACTGCTGAGTCACATTCCAGATGGCAGTACGCTTCATAGTCATTGCTGAGTCACATTTCAGATGGCAGTACGCTTCATAGTCATTGCTGAGTCATATTCCAGATGGCAGTACGCTTCATAGTCATTGCTGAGTCACATTCCAGATGGCAGTACGCTTCATAGTCACTGCTGAGCGACATTTCAGATGACAGTACGCTTCATAATCACTGCTGTGATAACCTGAAATCCAACTTCATTCTTAACTCTTAATGCATAATTTAGTGTCACAAAAGGTTTGAATCCATTTATGTTAAGGATCTAAGGGGAAGATCCTACTTAAGCCCGAAGGCGACGTGTCGACTTATCCGGCCTGTCGCATATATCACGGGCCGTGACAGACGGGGAGAACTTAGTAATTATTAGGAGGAAGAACCTGTAATATTCCAAGGACACAGGCTCAAATATGATTCCCTCAGTTAAATCCCCAAAGTAACGCCCTTGGTAATCAATCTAAATCGAAATCAGTATATTCATAAATGTCGACAAAACAATTCACGTAAAAATAGCAACATGGATTATTTACATTAAAATGTTAATACTACATGTTTCGACCCTAATTGGGTCTTCATCAGGTGTATAACTTGTACTTAGGTGCTCAGCTTTATGTTCAATACGGACCCATATATCTTTTTTTTCAAATTTGACAATATGATATGTGTTATCTGCTAAGAAACAAAACCTCTGGTTATTTACTTTTCAGCAAAAGCTGTACTGGTATTAATTACAATTAGTTAAAATTAATATTACTGTATGTATATATGTAGGGCCGCGCCATAACCCAAGCGCTTAGTCGCTGGCTTCTCACCGCGGCGGCCCGGGTTCGATCCCGGATCTGGTCAGGTGGGATTTGTGGTGGACAAAGTCGCGCTGGGGCGGGTTTTCTCCCAGTACTTTGGTTTCCCTTGCCAATCTTCATTCCACCAGTTGCTCCACAATCATCCTCACCTATCATCTGGGGCTGGTACAATAGGCCAGAAGAGGCCGCAGTACAAGGGACTTAGTCCCACCCCACTAACAATAAAAAATATATCTATATATATCTTTTCTACTGGTACACTGGTTATCTTTGTCCTCGTTCTTTTTTAGTGGGTACGATGGTATCGATTTCTTGCGTGTGCGCATGCGTCACTCTTTATTTATGCCATATCGTGGTGTACGCTTAGTGTTGTGGATTGTGTGTATTGACACTGTTTTCTTGTGATGCGTGGTGCAGTTCTCATGTTGTCTTGTAGCTTGTCGTTTAGACCAAAAAGAATAATCTAGATCTGTTTTGTGGTATTATTTTGCAATGTTGTCATTGCCTAGGACATCGAATGATAGGACAAATCAATGTTGAATTGCAAAATATTTTAAAAAGAACTTGACGTCGAATGATCGAGGTACTTATCCCTGCATTTATCTATAGAGAATGAGGAAAACCATGGACACAATGTTTCATTGCAGAACAACAAACCCAGTTTCTGGAGCTTATGATCACGTGACGGTATTTGAGATAAGAACCTAGACTTGGACTGCAATACAAAGAAGGTGTGTGTTCAGTTCATTAGTATGCGCTTCAATTTCTTGAGTCCAAGCTCAATTAAAAAGTCCTTTTTTCCCTTGGCACTACAACCCCAGTTGGCCTAGGCCATGAACTTTTCTGTTCACTTCGGTTTTTCTAGATCTTACACATTCGGTAGGACTCCTTGGGCGGATGATCAGCTCGTCGCAAGACCTCTACCTGTACACAAACACAGAAAAACGCACACACACAAACTAAACATTCATGTCCTGAGTGAGATTGGAACCCATGATCCCGGTTATCAAACGAGCGAAGACAGTGCATGCCAAAAAGTCCTTAACCCAGTAAAAATAATCAGCAGACATCATGTCAACAATTCCGCTGAATGGAGCGTGTCTCCTACAGAACAGTTCATCACTTGAAGATTATTGCGTTCTAGGATATGATACTTGGAGAGACGTTCAGATCAATATACTACCTCCACCTTCAGTGTACACAGATAAATTCTTCTATCCTTAGGACTGAAATACTTACCTCCGATACGCTAAAAACATTTAAAATAATACACGGCACCACAACTCACAACACAGCAATCTTGTTAGTTATTACTGTGAAAACCTCAGACCTCACATTCTCTCTGTTTTTAATTCGCTTAGTGGGGAGTGGAGTCCAGCTGGTTCCACTCGGCACGGCGGCCACTGATTGGCCTATTGTACCGGCCCCGGGTGATTACGGTGATGGAGAATTTGGTGGAATGAAGATTGGCAGGAGAAACCGAAATACTGGGACAAAACCCACCCCAGCGTCACTTTGCCCACCACAAATCCCACTTTACCAGACCCGGGATCAAACCCGGGCCGCCGCGGTGGGAAGCCAGCGACTAACCGCTTGAGCTATTGCGCGGCCCTCAGATCTCACATAGTTTGTTAGCTGGCGTCACCAGAGAGATAATAAATTCAGATTATCTGTGAATCTGTGTATGGCCGTACTGCACTTTGGTTGGCCTCGGCCGGTTTTAAGTTCCTTAATCATATACATAGTCTGTAGGACTCCTTGGAAGGAGGATCAGCCCTACATAAAGCTGCTACCTACGCAAAGAACAACACAAACACAGAGTAAAGTACACAGGAATCCATGCCTCGAGTGGTGTTCAAACCCACGATCCCAGAGTTCGAACGAACGAACGAACAAGTTCATGCACTACACCGTGCGACCATTATGTTAGGCCGAGGAATATTATATCTGTAATTAATTCTATACACTATGATTCATTCAAATCTGTCTTAGCCTATTCATGGAGATGTGAATTAAAAGAATCGTATAGACAAACTGCTTTTGTATTAATTACACAGACCCATCAAGTATTCGCCTGGGGTTTCTTCTTAGTATAGGATTAGACCTCTGTTACGATATTAATAGACTAGATTATATGAAAATTTCTATGTTCATGTTTAAAAAAACCCTTCAAAATGTTCACAGACTGTCATATGTCAAAATAAATGGTATCCATACTTCACATATACTCGTACATATAAAAATATTATAAATACTCACGAAATTGACACGATACAATGAAACGAAAAAAATTCACTTGCTATTGATCTACCACATAATCTACGTTCATGCAAAATGTTAATGATAGATAGTTCGATTTTTAGTAGGGCTCAATTAGAATGTGATGATACATGCGCAGAAGACAATTTTCGTTTCCGGGCGGAACGGACGAGTCCATATTCTCTTTCAGAAGATATGAAGGGTGGATATTTCAATTCGCTGCTGGCAGCTGGTTTCTGTGTTCGAGTGGATCGTAACGGACTTACTCACTCAGGTGTTCTGTTTCTCCTTCACTTCCCCTCCGTGCATGCTTGTGTCATCACATAATAATCGAGCTCTAACCTCAAATTGCTCAACTTCAAAGCTATCATCTCTCTATTAAGACACTTTTTCATGTCTGTGTGTATATATATATAGGAATTTCAATAAGCGTCATTGTTGCTTGACGTATTATAATAGTTACAAATTTGTTTTTCGAAACTCTGTTATCACGTACTTTCGGAATCTTGCATTGTGTGGCGCGAGTAGAGCTCTCATATCAAATTCGGACAGTCGCCATGTTAATATTCTTGACGACCGGAAATTAAAATATAAAACAGTTGAATTGCGCCCTGCTACATGGAGTTCGCACAAAGTTGAATGCAAGCCCCTCCTCTGATTTAACAGGCAATTAACTGAAACGAATATGAAGCAACATGTGACACGTTGACATGACACTGCATATCAAGATTTCGTTCTAATTACGGAAATGAGGACAGAAAAAGGAAATTATAATATCGCATGCCATGTTAGGACTAAATGGATCCTCTTGTCACGACGCCATAACACGTCCTCAGGCTGTGGACAGAGGAGAGAGCCTTCAGATGCAGAGGACAAATGTGACTACACCGAATAAGCAATTGCCAAAAAGGGGATCGTGGGGTGAGGGTCTACCCATTCCTCACTGCAAACTCTTACCATCTTTCGAAATATTATGGGAAACCCGACATTTCTGAAACGATCCACATTTTACATGGAATAATGCATAATTAATTAAACATAGGGCCAAATTTA